CCCCAAAACCCCAAAACCCCAAAACCCCTATTTATCAGCAAAATCTAGAAACTATACCAATTAATTTACAAAATTAAGGTAAGAAAATGGCAAACTTTGTTGTTAGTTCACCTCCCTAGTTTGCCACTGTTTCATAAAACAAGACCCCACTTATTGCAATGATAGGTTTTGATTTATTTTTCCTGAATCATTTCAGTAATTAAGACAAGTGGGTTATTAAACTTTATGTAGAAGATCAGGCAATGCCAACAATCGTTAATCTCAGAGATACAAACTATGAACCATATTGGAACGGAGGGACTCATAAGCTAAAGGATGATGAAAAGATCAAAGTAATCCAGATGATCAAATGGTCCCTGCTATCAAACTTTGTATTTTGCAGTCTATACCTGTTTTACCTGATTTATTACTGGGACACTCTTTGAGTGCAAGAAATAAAATACCAAATTTGTGGCTTTTTGTTTTTAATCTGATTCAGAATTCCTATTGGCACTATGTATTGTATTTATGTCAAGAAGAGGGATAGAGATCATAGAGGAATCTGGAGGGCATATAGTGCTATTAAGATCATTTTCTGTGTCTGGATGACATACTGCTTTTATCCTCTTTGTTCTGCTTTAAACTGAAAGTCGAACCTTATGATATCTCCTCTTATACTCTATTGAATATACTCCTTCTTAAATCTGATTTTATTCTTGATCCTCAGCATGAGATCATGGGCAAGAAAGCTAAGTGAAGAAGACGAGAAGCAAATAATTGAAATGGAATTACCAGAGATGGAAGATACACCAATCCATAGTCCTAAAGCCCATCTCAGGTTTGAGCCAGAAGCAAGGAGACTGCCTATATCTGACTCTATCGTGTAACCTCTTCACCTAATTCTCATCAATTCTGTAATATCCTTCAACTTGATATAATAAAGCTCTGATTAACAAGCTGGCCATCCGGGTTTTACTGAAGAGGATTAGACCCCAGCTTGGGACAAAGATTTGCTTTATGAAAGATAAAATCAAAGGTTTTAGAATTTTTAGGAATTTACAAATTTTGTGTGTGAATTTAACTGAGTATAATTTTTCAAATGTTTAGTTTATGTAGGAACTTGCTTGAGGTGATAAGAATTCAGTAATTTTAGATGGTTAATATTTATTTTTGGGTTTATATAGAAATTTTACCAAATTTAGTTGTGAGAATACCGGTAAATTTCTATTTGTTCCGGATAGTGTAAATATGTTTGTTCTTTATGTTAAATAGTCTACTTTCTAGACCAGAAATAATTAGTATAAATACTTATGAGATTTCAATCAGTTTTGCTATAAAAGGGGTTTTGGGGTTTTGGGGTTTTGGGGTTTTGGGGTTTTGGGG